ACGCAACCCGGTTCGAGAGGAGCGGTCCAGTGGTTCGAGTATTTGTGGTATAACAACTACATTAAATATAAATATATCAATTGAGAAATAATTTTATTTTTCTAATGAATTTTAATAAATATTATTATTTTTAATTATTATAAAGATAAATATAATTTATTTATTTTATATATACAATATGGATGTCAAATCGAAGATCCTCAAAAGATGATTAATTTGATATATGATATATGTAAACTGATAAGAAATACAAAAGATATCAACTTTTAAAATATATTTATAATTCAATAGCTTATTGAAGGAAGCAAATCAAAATTTAGGGATATATTAGTCACTTAGTGCTTCACTATGTAAAATTACAAATAATTAAAGAGTTATATTAGTAAAAGTGATATTAAAATACCTAAGTTAGCTAAATAATATTTATGGAATATCGAACCTAGATTATTAATTATTAATATATCAATATTATTTGTCCAAACCTAATTACGAAGCATGATTCTTCGCCAAATAGGATTCCGAAGCGCCAGAAGCAGCCACGTAGGCTCAGCGCATTCGGGAATTATATATAGGGAGGATATATGGTTTATCTGTAGTTTTTTGTTGGTTTGTCTGTGGTTTTTGTTGTCTGTGGTTTTTTGAATCCCGAGCTCGAGATAAACTTAAGATAAACTATTATATTTAGTTTATTTTGTATAATTTTTTATTTTTTATTTTTTTGGTCAAATTGTTTTTTTGTAACTTTGTAAAAAAAAAAAAAAACATAATAAATTTTTGAAAAACCAAAAGTTGCAAGTTTAATAAATTTTAAAAATAATGTAACAAACTTAAGATAAACAACAGAAAAAACCAAAAGTTGCAAGCTAGTTTAAATTATAAAATAAAGTAACAAATTTAAGATAAAATACAGATAAACAATTGAAAAGGCAAGATCGAATGATTAATTTAAAATAGAAAATATATGAGATAGAAATAAAATTATTTCAAAAAATGATGTTTTCAGAATAGTGACGTCTTTAGCATCACCACGTCACTATAGTTGCGGAGAAAACATAAGTGGGTGATTGTGATACAAAATGGTATCGTCGGTATGTACTTACGCCTTATATTTTGAGGCCGACTTATATGTATAGCCCAAACCAGTTCACCCCTAATGGCCCAACTCCAAATGAAGCCCTAATTTTTCTCTTCTCTATATATCTGTAACCGCCGCACCGCTATACACAACGACCACGTTCTCCACTGAGGCCGTGCCATCGTCTTCAAATGCAATCTGTTCGCAACTGTTTCTAGTAATCAATCTCTTCTGTTGCATTCATCTCCTTTGCTATCTGATTCTTCTCGTTTGAAAATGCTCTGCATCCTTCTATGATTTTCTCTCCCCGTTTCGACTCAAACAAAAATGGCGGAGAAAATACGAACCGATGCTAAATCAGTTGTTTTTAACGAGGTGCTTATGGACACGCAGATCCCTTTCTTTAATCGTGGTTCCCTGCGTTTTCTCGTAGGTTCCACAATATTTGTACCTATTTTTTTTTTTTTTAATTGTGATACTGCTTGCTCGATGATGATTGAATTGCTTTAACCACACTGAAAAAGAGGCTTTGGGTCTGCACAATTTTTGAATCGGTTTTAAGCTTGAGGAAGTGTTGTTTTTTTTGCTGTTTCACTTTGGATTTGCTTTCCGGTGGCCTTATGAGTCTTTTTTTCCCCGGAGTTTAAGATGAAGGCTCTGTAAAGCCGGTCGGAGGTGAAGGGCAAATTTTTATACTTCCTTGGGTTTAAAATCATTTCAGGAATTACCCTTTAGTTTTCTCAATGTGGACAAACTTTGGCCTATCGACTGAGAGCTCTTGTTCAGTTAATATTTTCCTTTTTTACTCCTTTCTTGATTGTTTGATTTTATGTTTTGTTTTTGTATCATTGGATTATTCTGAGTCTAGACATAATTGATTATAGCAGAAGTTTATTTATTTATTTTTTTATTTATTTATAATTGTTCAGTTTTGCTATCGAGTCAGCTCGATTTATGAAGTCATCCACATTTATTAACCATTAGTCCTACAATAAATATAGAATTTGGGTATGTGTCAATACATTAGGTGGATGACTCTATAAGAAAACCACCCGAGCTTCATAGTATTTTTGTATAATTATTTCAGGAATCGGATTATTTATTTATTTATATATTATTTTTACTATCACTGTAGTTGAGAAAAATATGTTTTTTGAAAATTAAATTACAACATCTCTGTTTATGCAACTTTAAATACATGTTTCTGAAAGTAAATTAAGGATGTTTGATTTTTCTCTGAAAAATTACGGAGATTTGGGCAGTATGGTGTTAAACAAGTGTTCCGCTAGCACGGCATTTGCGGCATCTGATGGGTGAAAAGCATCCCAAAACACATATTCACTGCGGTTGCTACATAGTTTCGAGTTGGGAAGACAAAGCCCTCCCAGTCTTGTATCTGTGTTGCAGCATGCTGTGTTTGAGACCTTAAAACCTGAAAATTGTGGTGTGAAAAAGTAAATACCGAATTTCATGGGACTGTATTTTATAAAAGATACAACACACGAAGTATTCGATTTATTGGTTTTCCTAAAAATATGGAGTATGAGGCTTATTTTGACATAATGCAAGCGTTTAATCTTACCGTATGAAGAAGGATTTTCGATTAAATCCAAGACTGCTGTGTAAGTGTCGGCAAATATCAATTGTGAGGAAGGAAGGTGAGCATTTAGAGTAGCAATCAAGTTGTGAACTTTGGAGTTAAATTGCTGGACCCACAGATTGACTAGGCATTGCCCTCGGCTCGATTTCGCCCTTTGGGAAGGAATGCATCCGAGTGGGCCGAGCCCGTGGAACACCATCTTTCTTGCACCAAGTTGATAAAGCCTCTGATGCAATCAAGATATGCAGAAATATTTTCAGGTAGTGATTTTGGTCTGGTAATATCCGGTGTATATATAGCTTTATACTACAATATTGACTTATTGTGAGACATTTACCGTGATTTGTTCACCTAAGGTTGAGATCAAGAGCTCCACGAACTCATCATGAGAGTATTGTTGGCCATCTGGTAAAAATGGCTGTAGAAAATTGTTGACATAATCGTTGCTACCTGAATTTTGCAAGTGTGTCGAATAATTAAGCGGAAAATGAACTGAAACATGGATTACTTTTGTTTGTGTAGCTAAACTTTATTAAGCTTGTTTGTGATTAGTTGAATATTCAGAACTTGTAACTGTGTTTGATAAGAGTACCTATTCCGATGAAATAAAAAGCTCCATTGCAAAGCTTATTGGCTGCCTCATCTCCAATCTTATTCCTCATCCATTGCTTTGTCGTCCCGAAGTTCTTTATCTGATCATCAAACGACAACCTCTGTATCTGTTGTCAAATTTTAGATAAACAACCGATCAAAATAAGGATTAAATTTGATCCAATAGTTAGTGCAACTAAATTATATGTCCTCATATATTTATATATACAAAGTAAAGCCCCGTCTCGTTGAGTATTCCAGCTCCACCGGACGCATAATTCACCCCTTTCAAAATTGCATCGTCTGCAGGCAACAATGACAAATATGGAGGTGGGGACGGAATTCCGAGCTTGGCGGCTGGTATATATTTTCACGAGTAAGTTGAAGAAAATAGTATATAAATAAAATAAATATATATAAGTTGCTGAAAAATATGAATTTTATAAAGTAGTCGCGACAAATGTTACATATAATGTCGCATATAGTTCTCCCATTTGTGAATCTCCCGGTGGGTTTCCCGCCATTAAAGTCGACTCCATAATGTGGGTAGTTCGACTTTGCAAGTGAGAGTTGGAGGTAATTGTTGTTCCCAACTTCGGTCAACGAGTCACCAAATACGAAGGTGACGAGCGATGCTGCTGATGAATGCATGCTGATGATCATGGCTATGGCCACCAATAAAGTGAGATGTTTCTTCATTACTATCGATTTTGTAGGTTTTTGGTGCTGGATTTGGTAGATATAGTGATACACTTTGATTTATATAGTGCTGGTAGAGGTGTTTGCTCAACTTGTTTTTCTGCTAGTCTTGCCAAGTTCAACAAGTTTCAGTTGGTAGGTGATTGTTTTCTAGATATATATTCTTGGCTTTTAGAAGCTATAATAATATTTGAGCATGGTTTCTTGAATCTGCACTTGGAAATTGTTGGCCAACCAATCACTAAGGGCTTGATTGTTTATGAAATAATTTGTTCAGATTGAGTTATTTTGGTTAACCATAGTTAATTTTGAAAAATGTGGTATGGTTAGTTGTAGTGGAATTTTAAGAATGTATTAAAATAATATTTAAAATAAAATGATTAAAGTTGATTTGATGTAAAAGTAAGAGATAAATGATTGGAAATGATTGGAAATGATAGGTAGTTAAAATTATGTGAGTGAATGAATAATGAATTAAAGTTGATGTGATGTGTAAGAATGATTGGTTTATATTATTTAATTATAAAAATAATATTAAAGATAGTGGAGATAAGTTAAAGTTGAGTTAAATTTTGAGTTGAAATAAAAGTGGGTAAATTAATTGGTAAACAAGCAAGCCCTAAGTAGCGTATAAAAAGGAATCATGGGAAAATATATACGAGTAAATTATTGATTTGTGAACATTATATCGTTCGTGTATTCTCCTAGTTGGGAGCGTATATTATTCACTAGTGGGAGTTTTGTAGTTTTCTTGTGTTATGTGGTATTTAAGTTATCTTGAGTAAACCTCTTGTGTTCCGGTTATTTAGTCGGCTGTAAGTATGTGTTTTCATTAATCAATCTATGAAAAAAAAAAGACATTATATATTTGAAAATGTTCTGTCGGTTAAATTTGTAGAGCCATGAGAGATTTCTAAAGCTCATTAAGATAGTAAATTAATTTTAATCCACTTCATATATACTAGTACTCTTTTACTCATTCACATGAACGGGCAAAGTCAGTTTAATTATATTAAGTATTACATAAAGTTTAAATTTAATAATATAAATAAAAATTAAAATAAAGTACTTTTATTGTGAAAATTTAATTGCACACAACATTATATATATGTCAATCGGTCCCCTCTATATAAAAATATCTGTATCTTTTTGATTGGTTATTTTTAAAGTTGTTAATATTGGTTATGATCGAATCCTTCAGTTACCAGTAAATTGCATATTAAATTAATATATTATACTGACACACAACATAATAAAATAATTTACAACAAAATCATAAACACTACAACTTACAAGAATGTGAATAAATTTCAATGGAAAACTCCAACGAAAAAATATTCCAAAGGAATTCTAACGAAATTGTAATAGATATTCCAATGCTATTATATTCGTTGAAATTTCCAATTGATTCCAACGGAAATTCCAACAAAAATATTCCGTTGGAATGTGTTTTCATTTAAGAATATCGTTAGATTTTGACGATTTTAACGGTTAAAATATGAGTGGAAATAAAAATTCCAATGAAAATTATATACTCCAACAGATTCCTAGAATAAAACACCATTGGAGTTTTTGTTGGAATCATTCAAACAGAAGTTATTTGAAATATATTAACGTAGGATGTTCCGTTGGAATATGTCATTCTTTTTGTAGTGAAAGTTACAGTTAAGAAATCAATTTAATTTGTACATATCACTACTATTATATGTAACATCTTTATTTGATTTTTTTTTTTTTTTTTTT